TATATATATTTTTTGGTGGTTGTCAGATCATCTCTTTATTGATGTATTTTCTGATGCTCCTTAGCTAGCTGGACACTCGACAAGGCCGTTGTTGATGTCATCTATGATGTCATGAGGGTGCCGGCTGTCCACGTTGCAGCCCACAGACTGGGCGGTCCCCAGGATCTCCTTAATGGTTCTGGAAAGTTCTCTGGCTAAAGACTGGTGCCGCATCTGTCGGGCGATGTTGACAGTCTCATCAAAAGTGATATTTCCGCTGTGTTTAATGTTTTTCTGCTTCTTTCTGTCTCTTGGCGGCTCCTTGAGGGCTTTGATGACCAGGGCAGAGGCAGAAGGCACCGCCTCAGTCTGAGCCTGTCTGTTCTGGATGGTCAGTTTCACGGTAATAATCCGCAGGCCCTTCCAGTCACCAGTTGCTTTGACGATGTCATCCCCCACTTTTTTTGAAGACAGACCCAAGGGACCGATCTTGGGGGCCAGGGCAGACATGGTGCCAACTTCACCACCCGTGCACCTCAGGTACACGACTTTGATCTTGTTGGGGTTGAACTTGGGCGGCACGCTGGAGCTGGCTGGTGTCAGATGAACCCAGATTTGGGACAACCGAAGAAAGTTGCACCTTAGCCTCCTCCCAGCCGAAAGCCAAAAAGATATATATATGCCCTATATCCAACGACAAGCATCCATATAAGAGAGAGATGATAATGGGAAAAAGGAAGGAGACCGAGGCTGGAGGACACCACAAGAACACCTGCGCCTCCAAAAAGCTGGAGGAAGCAATGAGAGGTTTTCCTGTAGAGCCTGGAGTGAGTGGGGCCCTGCTGACAGCTTGGTTTTGTAGAATACATGTCTGCGGCTTCCGGCTACCCGTTTCATGGTACTTGGTTGTGGCACCTACCGGAAACTAATATAAGTGATGGGTTTGTCCAAATCTTGCTGGAATGGAGGATTCCATTTGGGAATGTGAGTGGTACCCTTCAGGCCTTGGGACGCGCGTGACCCAGGCCGTGTAGAGGCCTGGCCCAGTCAGGTTTAGTGGAAAGCCGTGGCGTTGCTCGAGGCCGAGCACCTGGCTGTGTGTGCCACATACCGGGGCACGTGTCCCCTGTGGTGCGAAGGTATCCAGGTGCCAAGCAAGCTGTTCCCCAGGAGTTACTTTCTAATGTGGGAGCAGCCAGCAGTGTCTCTTTACAGGGCTGTTCTCTGAAAGTCCCAATCCCCTGTCCTTGTCCTCTAAGGCCCCCTCTCACCCCACCCTGCAACCCCAAGTCCCTCGGGACTCTCCCCCACACAGTGGCAGCATAACAGGGGGTGGCCCTGGCAGGCTAATGGAGTTGACAATTGAGAGGATGCTTCACACTGCCACCTAAAGAACTGCACGTGCAAAGGACAAGAAGTGACGATTCCTGTTGTCTGTAATGTGTGTTGCCAGAAAGGTGGGTGTCTAGGCAGAGTTGTGCCTGGGGTGCTCAGGGCCGGGTGGGCACCCGCAAGCGGGTTGCTCCTTAAATTACTCATACTCTAGGTTTCTCATATAAAAGAAATCGTAATACAGATCAGATGTTTATTTAAATAAACATTTTAACAGTTTATATTAAAAAAATAAATAAAATAAAAGAAATCGCGATATTTAAGCTTGCGCTTGCTGTACTTTACTTAACCTTAAGGCCTCAGGGCACGGCCGTTTTCCCACGCACGATGCATATTTGTCCTCTGCCGCACTCCACTGAGGATAAACACCATCTCTCTGAATCTGTTCCTCTGTTGAAGGGTGCAGGCCGCTTCCGCGGCTCAGCTAGTGGAGCTGTGTGGCCGTGAGCACCGGCATCCACATGTCGCTGCGATGTGGCGGCTTGAAGACACGCGGAAGGGGGACAGCTGGGCTGATGGCACGTTCAGCTTTTAGTCTTCAAGGACTCTCCGTCCCGATTTCCACAGTGGTTGTACCCCCACAGTTAGGTGGGGCTCCTTTCTCCTGCAGCCTCTGCAGCATGTGTTATTCTTTGATTTCTTATGATAGCTTTACTTCCTCGAGTAGGATGGAATCTCCAGGTTGTTTTCCTTGCATTTCTCTAAGGGCCAGAGATGTTGAACATTTCTTCACGCATTTATTGGCCGTTTGTACTTCTTATGAGAAGTGTCTATTCATTTCAGATGCTCATTTTTTTTTAATTTTTTTTAAACATTTGTTTATTTATTTAGTGTGTGTGTGTGTGTGTGTGGCCAGCTCAGCCCACCAGGGGGCGGGGCTGGCTGGCATGTGGTGCTGGGGATCGAACCGCGGTCCCTGTGCTTTGCTAAGCTTGTTCTAAGTAGGTGCTTTAGACCACTGAGCCATCTCTCCAGCCCTCATTTTTTTTTTTTTTAAAGTATAACATTCGATTTATTAGTTCTTTCTCAAGAGAGTTTTCTTCAGTCCATTGAGACCCAGCTCCCCTTACATGGGCTTTGGTGGAGGTCGTGGGCGGGCAGCAGCAGCAGCAGGTCCAAGTCAGGTGGAGGAGTTTCCTGGCCGGCTTCACGAGATGGATTTCTGACCAGCCTGCTGTGACTGGCACAACTCACACAGTCATGCAGCTTCACATACAGCTTGGGAAGCACATAACCGTCGAAGACACTCGCTTCAGAAATGTCCCTGACGGCGGCGGCCTCCACTATGTTCCCAACGACAAACATCTGAATGGCTTTATCCTTGGGTACGCATCCGGGTGCAGTTCGTGCAGCGAATAGGCTGCCCATGACCGCGGCCCTTTTTGGCACGACCGTTGTTCCTTCTTTTTTTCGTTATCTTGGAAAGGAGGATCCGAAAGAGGCCAGATGCCCACTTTTGATTGGACCTTTTATTCTTGGGGGGTCTAACTTTTCCGAGCTGCTCTTGTATTCCAGGTAGTGGTCCTTTGGCAGCTTGACCCTTCACTCCGTTGGCCGTTTCCTTTGCTCTGTAAAAGCCTTTTAATTTGATGTAAGCCTATTTGTAGGTTCTGGCTGTTATTTCTCAGGCAATTAGAGTTCTGTTTACAAAGTTCTTGCCTATGCCTGTGTCTTTAAGATTAGTTTTACCTGTTTTATCCCCCAGCATATGAAGAGTTTCTGTTTCGTTTTCCTTTTTTTTTTTTTTTTTTTTTTTGTCTTTTGAGACAGGGTCTCACTATGCAGCTCAGGTTGGCCTTGAGCTCACTTTGTAGCTCAGGCTGGTCTCGAACTCACAGAGAGATCCTCCTGCCTTGGCCTCCTGAGTGCTGGGATTACAGGTGTGTGCCACCCCACCCAGCCGTGCATTTCTGTCTTAATGTCTAGGTCTGTATCCATTTGATTTTAGTTTAGTACCTGCTGAGAGAGAAGGCTCTAGTTTCAGGGTCCTGCATGTGTCCAGCATTTGCCCCTCGTGAGCCATCCCGCTGCCTCAGTCCTGAGGCCCAGCGGGCGGCGCCCTCCAGCCTCAGGCTGGGAAGGTGCCTCCTTCCCCCTCACAGCCATCACCCTAGCTCCCTGAATGTTTCTCCCTTGCCTTATTTTGTACCTAAAGCCAGAGGGGTCCAGTTAGAACAGACCTAATCCTATTGCCTGTTTGCCTGTCAAGTTCTAGAAACGGTTTTTACATGGCTCACTACGCCCTCCACAGCACAGCTGCTGGTCACAGTGCTGCTTGGGTGACTGAAAAACATGGCAAATGTTTAAGTATTTAAAATTACCACAGGAAAAGACACACAGCCAACACCCCGCGCCCAAAGCCCCATGATTGTTGGCGCTCGCAGAGCAGTTCTGGAGCCTGCTCCATGTCTTTGCTTATTCTCTACTGGCTGCCTGGCTGTCCTGAGTTGATGGAAAGTGTTTACTTTTCGTGGTGGTGCTGCCTTTGGGGAAGGGTGGAAGGTGCGCGGTGCCAACCTTCTTGTTGGGTGGCCCTTGGCAGCAGCATTCGTCACCTCATGAAGACACTCATGAAAGAGGCCTTGCAGATTGCTGCAGGAAGCAGCAAGGAGGTGGGCTAAGAGCTTCTGAAGCAAAGGGGAGGATCTGAGGGGGAGCTGCAGCTCTGTGTCTTCTCCTGTGATGCATTTCTTTAAGCACGCATGGTAGGAGCATAGTCCCGCATTCCCTGGGCCCCCCCCCCCATTCTCCCCACAGGCACCCCCTTCTCCTCATTTCAGGGTTTTGTTGCTGCTGGAGCCCATAGCCTGTGTTAGTTGAAACATTGTGTCAACTTGCCTGAATCAGCTCCAGCAGCTCTCAGCGTGGGGGCCTTGCCCTGCAGGTGGGCAGGGCCCAGGAACTGAGACAGGCTTCCTGCCGCCCTGTGCCCTGCCCAGCAAGCCGCCCTGCCTGGCTTCGGTGGAGAAGTCTCAGGCTTTGGAGGAGCTTGATCTTTGCAGCCAGGCCACTTTGGAGGAGCTACAGTCTGTCTTTGCAGCCAGCGTAGAAGGAAGAGAGAGGCTTGACGGTTGCCACAGCTGCTGCTGCTTCTCTGCTCTTCATTGTTTTCTGTGCATGAACTGCTGACGTTTGCCTTGGAGCCAGCCGAATATGGACTGAACCCTCCAGTAACTGTGAGCTAAATAAATCTTTCCTTCCTTCATTTTGAGTGTCGGGTATTTGTCCCAGCAACGAGTAAACAGTAACTAAGACATATCCGTATCCCCAAATACTATGTTTATAGGGAAGTTCTTGGGTTTGTTGACCTCAGCTATCCGAGGGTAAGAAATACGTTAGCCTTCTGCTACCTTCTGTGACCCTTTTCCAGCTTTAGCCAGTTCCAGCTCCTTTTTCAGGTCTATTCTCAAACCTCAAAACTTACACTGAAACCTCAGTGTGTCGCTCCATTAGTGTGACTCTGTGTTTTGGCTTCCTCTGAGTATGCTGGGCACCCTGGGGCTCTGCCCAGCACCCCTCTCAGGGTCCTGCCATGCCCTGCCTGCACCCCGCCAGGCCTTTGGCAGCTGGATAGAACTCAGTCTCCGTTCCAGGGTGGAAGCATCCATAAGTGCCTTTTGCTGAGGTTTAGCTCTACACCCCCCACCTCCACCCCCCACCCTTACCCCATCCCCATCTCACGAGTTCAGAGGCGGCTTTGAGGGTGATTGGCCACTCAACGTCTGGCTGCACCAGGAGACTGACCTGTTGGTGAGGTCTGAATTTGATGGCATCATTGGGGTGATGGGAACTCAGTAGGTAGGGCCTAGTTGCTGGGAGTGGGCCATTGAGTGTGACCTTAGGGCCTGTGCTCTGGCTCTTTTCCTCTCAATTCTGGGCCCCCTTGAGGCAAGCCCCTGTCCTCCACCGCACCCTGTGCCACGATGTCCTGCCTCACCTCAGACGTAAATGCAGCGGAGCTGCCTGACCATGGGCCAAAATCAAGGACCCAAAGAAATATTGCTTCCTTGGAGTTGGTTTTCTTAAGAATTGGTGTGCAGCAAGAAAAAGCTAACAAAGCTTTTAAGCTTGTCAAAATAGCCATGAGGGGGGCTCAGTGGTCTAAGTGCCTGCCTGGCAAGCCCAAGGATCCAGGTTCCATTCCCAGTACCACATGCCGTGCTGGCCCCAGAACCCCAGGTGTGCTGTGCCAGTCACCAAAACCAGGCATGGTAAGTAAGTAAATTAAAAAAAATAAATTACAGCCATGAGGAACAATGTTTACTGCAGCCACCTCTATGCTGTTCTTGTTT